ACTGTGCATTGACAACATAGCAGCATATCCCTTCAGTTTGGTCTTAATTGCCTTGAATGACAGACTCTGAAACATCAATGTTTGTTTGTTCCCAAAAAAATGGAACACAAGACTTGCCCTGTTGTAATTATGACACTATTGACAAATGAACTTGATGTAATGGAAGCACAGTATCAACATCTACAACCAAAATATACAGATACAGACAGGGATCCTAATATTGACTAATATCTGCACACTCAGCTGTCAGTTTATTGTGCTTCATTATTCCTAATAAAAAACAGCCCTGCAATAAACCCTTCCTAGCAGAGAGGGGTTTCATATTTAGTTTCTGTTTGACCTTTAATCATTTTGGAGGTGTTAATATTTAGCCTTCTCTTTTTATGGGTTGGGCAAAAATATTTCAATATTATACAATACAATTAAACAGCATCGGAGCATACCTCCACCAAAATAACAATAAACAATAAAAAAAAAAGAAACAGTTTCACCTAAAACTAAAGTTTATAACCTTCATGTCAGCATCATTTGATGCAGCATTGTTGTATTAGACAGCATTAGTTTTAGCTGCAGTGAAGTTATTTAACAAAACTGTATTTCTTTAGGTTAAAAAGACCCTCAAAGTTTTAGATAGCAAGCATGCTACCGCGATGGTAAGAACCAGGTTTGTTGATTATCTCCTAACACTTAACATTTCCAAAGAGCTAGCAGTCAGCGTGAGGTCGCTAATAAAGAACCAAAATCACAGTCTAACGTAAGCTAGCTAGCTAGCAAAGGCTGTTAGCATCACACACACACACACACACACACACACACACACACACACACACACACACACACACACACACACACACACACACACACGTGCCTCTGTGCTGGAGGTATGCGCTATATGAACGTTAGCTGACGGTACATGTTCGTCTGTTAGCAACAGTCGTTCCCAAACAGCTAACTAACACATGAGCTTATAAACACAACGAGGCCAAAACATTAACGATCCCGTAATCAGAGGAACTATCCAGGTTTCCTCGGAGCAAACAGGGGGCTACGACATTAAACAGCTACGGTTGTATTGTCTCTGTTTCTACATCCATGGTGGCTGTTAGCCAAATGAACTAGCATGAGCTAACAGTTAGCTCGTACCTAACTGGTTAAAGCAGACAGTAAGTTTGGAGGCTTCACTTACCCATCAGACCTCTTCTTACTGGTGGAGTAGTCATCACCCAGGTCCAGACGATGTCTTTTGGACATCTTTAGGAAGAATTGTAGCTTATCTTTAATCTATTAACGCGAACACAATTCTACCGGGCAATATGGAACTAACTTCCAGGTTCCTGTGCTTGTTTTCCTCCTTTCAAATGTGTTTAGCTGCGGCTGTGCGGATTACAGTACCGCCCCCTGCTGGCCTGGAGTGTAGGCAGTGTTTACAACCACAGGCTGAGCTGGATGAGCAGCGCTGGGGCAAGGTGGGCAACTGCCCTGCAGCCCCCAAAGTGCAGGCTTTATGTTAACCAGATGGTTTGTGATAGTCGATACAGGATAATGCACAATATTTATATTGTGTAAGGTAAAAAAAACAATAATGTATTGAAAATGGGTTGCTTTTTGTCAAAATCTACTTTTAAGTTCATTCTTTCAATATTGTGCTTGTATGCATTAATTAATTAATTAACGGATATTTTATTTTACTTCAACTATTTCCAGCCTGCATGGACTTATGAGATACCACAAAGGCCAGATCCAGAATGCTGCATAAACTATACATTTACAAACAATAGTTTATACTACAAAAGGTTAAAAAAGTTACTTGGGCAGTGCAGCTAATTGTTTGCCCCTATAGCAGCTCTTAGGGGTTGATCACACATCTCTCTACCTTGAAATAGCTTTATGGTATCCACCTGTACCCCAGACTATATGATAAACAAATACCTGTTTGAGGGGATGATTTTGGCAGATAAGGGGTAATATTGGTTCAAATCCTCCCTAAAAACAATCGAGCAGCCTACATAACCTTACTGGAGTATTAAAATGTTGTATACTGCACAATATTTCGGAGGGAAAACATTACATTTAGTTAAAAAATGATTGTGACATTGTAGATTAAGATTTTGAAAATCTATGTACAAGTTACCCAACGGTTTATAAAACATGTAAACTTAGTTCCACCACAACCAGCTACACAATTAATAATGCTCCTTACACATTAATGCACAAGTAATATAATAATATAACACATATATTCTGCCTGTGTTAGGAGCACTTTCACTTAGTTGAAAACACACTTTTATTGTAGTGGAAATTGTACTTCTTAGTTTAGAGTAGCCTATTTTTTGCAGTGTAGTGTTGCAAATCTTTTCCAACACTTGGCACTCATATTGCAGACTGAGTGTTGGTAGTGCATATCGTATTGTCAGTCTTTCCACTTTTCTAGATAATAAGAAAAGGCAGCAAACAATGTTTAAAACAAAAGTAATAAATGAATGTTTTCTGGATGTTACAGCTGTTTCAAGGATTGCATAAAGAGGAGGAGTTTATGTTTTAGAAGATCAGGGTGTAATTAACGACACGTTAACAGCAGTTTTACCTGTTTCCAGACTTTTTTCAATAAACATGCCTCGAGTGCTGAAGAAAACTGGATCAGCTGCATGCGTGGAGAAAAGAAAAAAATAATTAACACCAGCTTTATTAGAAAAAAACAAAAAACTGACGCCTGCGGTGCCCTGAGCACCAAAAACCTCTGCTCCACCCTCAGAAATAACAACGCCTACTGACAGGCTTATACAACACTTTTATAACATATATTTCACCTTGCCTCGTCAGATGATCAACAGTGAGCAGCTTCTGAACAGAGAAAGTGCGTTTATGCTGACCATGCGTCTACACGGGTAAGTGGAGTTGGCTCGTTGAGCTGCATCCGGAGTCTCTGCGTTTGGGCTGTTTATTTACAGTACTTTGTTTGTAGGATAAAATACTGCGACATGTTCGTGTGGTGATAGGAACAGCATGTGAGCTTCATTAGGAGGCCCCTTGTTCTTTTTTTCAGGGCTAATACACTGAGTGTGCAGTCCACATTGTGTTCTGTGCATTCATTTTGAGTGTTAACATATAGGCAATAGACAGGTAAAGGAGTTTGATATGCAGCAGGGCATATTACCCTTTGTGTCAACAGGATGAACACAATTACTCTATTACTGTGGGGCAGCTGGGAGGTGACATAAAACACTATTACACAACAATTGTTCTTTTTCTTTTTTTTGAATAATTCCTTTTTTTTTTTTTTTTGCTGCTTCACACTTCTACTCCACCACATTTTAGAGGGAAATGTTCAACTTTTTACAACTATGCTGATTTATAGGCTGCTTATTATAGGCCTATTTAATTTGCAGATTAATAGCCACATGAGCTCCACCATCCATCAGAAATGTTAAAATACTTTACATGTTTATGAGTAAACTATAATAATAATAATAATCCAACAATGCAACATATGTAATAATATATACCCAGCTTCTATATCTTGAAAAGAGCTACTCTGTATAATAAGTTGGCTACTTGTTTGATACTTAAGTACATTTGTTACATGTAATGTAACAAAGTATTTTCATGGCAAGGCGTTGCTACTTATTAAAGGAATAATAATAATAATAATATAAGAGACATTGTTCTAATAGTGTTAATATTTTTCAGGTCAATGAGTACATTGGGAGCAGTGTTGGTTCTGCTGGCGGGCTGTCAACAATGTGTCTCAGCTGACAGTGACACTTTGGCTCCACCAGAGGTCTCGCAGCACAATAGCACTCTGTATGCGGCCTGCAAAATGAGACCCAGCACCTCACTGGCCGAGGGTCTGCCCAAAGTGTACGGTCAGGTGCTGTTTAAGCAGGATTATCCTCAGGGAAAACTCAGAATCCTTCTTCGATTCAATGGCTTCCCCACGCAGGGTGATCCACAGCCCAGAGCGGTGCACATCCATCAGTACGGAGACCTGAGCCAGGGGTGTGACTCCACTGGCGGCCACTATAATCCACATGGTGTACATCACCCCAACCACCCTGGAGACTTTGGCAACTTTGAGCCCCAGCAAGGAAAAATCAATGCGATGATAGAATCTGAGGCAACGCTGTTTGGAGGGATGTCTGTGATCGGAAGAGCAGTGGTGGTCCATGAAAAGGTTGATGACTTAGGGCGTGGTGGAGACGCTGGGAGCCTGCTGCATGGAAACGCAGGCCGGAGGCTTGGCTGCTGCATTATTGGCATTTCCTCCCCCAATCTCTGGAATATGCACCATAAGCTGTACAATAGGCGCCTGAGGAGTAATTAATCTTACAGTAGTGGTGTATACTGTACCGGAGGTCAACTTACAAAGTTTGCCCTTGTATTCATTCATTCATTGTATCCATTGTATTCCTAGTCTGATATCAAGAAAAATCAATGGCTCAATCAAATTCCCTTTGTCCAAACATTCAACAACAGCTTATCAAACTTAAAGGACTGGTCCAGGGTCAATTTCAAGAACTTTCTCAAAATACTAAGCAGAATAAATAACACATTACTAGCAGAGCGGTTGGTTGGCCGTTCCACCACTTTGGTCCATGGACTGGCACACAGTTTGGTGCAGACATTCCTGCTTCCTAGTGGATGAATCCAACCAACTTTAGTAAATCTCTGACATTTCCTCTATGAGCACCATCATCACACCAACATTTGTTGTCCAATACTTCGTTTTATGATCAAATACTCAGCCTCAACTACTTTGTCTTTAGTGCTAAAAGCAAATTTTAGCATGCTAAGCAAAGATGCTACACCTGCAGGCATCAGCATGTTAGCATTGTCATTACGAATATGTTAGCATGCTGACGTTAGCGTTAAGCTTAATAAACCTGCATTACATAAGCTTTACCTTTAGGACAATGTCACAATATGTAAAATCCTGATGGACATGATCCATGTAATTATGGATTTCTATACTTTAAACTTTTTTTCCAGACACAACAAACCAGTAGTTGAAAACTATTTATTTTGCAGAAATAAATCAATTTGTACACATTTCTGTTCACATTCAACACATATACACACGGCTCTAGGTAATTTCTATCTGGTGAGTTAATATTTGTTACTACAAAAAACACAAAGACATCAGTGCTGGTAATCTAGATGTTGTGGCTTCAGTGTGTTACAGACTAATAAGTTCTGTAAATGTACTCGTAACTAAATCTTTTTGTTCAGCCTCAACTGACAAATTATTGTAAATCATCAAATATTTGTCTTGAAAACATCTCAAGGAATTCAATAAAAAGCATTTAGCATTAAAAAAAGAAATATCCAGTCAATTAATGGTATACTGTCATGCTGCATTTTATATATATCTTTGATAATATTGTGTGCTCATAATTACAAATAAAAACTTGTGCAAGGATGTTTAGTTTTAAATTAAGCGACTGTCACTTCTAGACAGAATCTGCCAGCAAATAAGTAAATGTCCCACAATAAAGAAATTAAAAAGTTTGGAAAATGTGTGTATTATATTTGAGAAACAAAATAAAGTTGGTGCTTAGCAGTTGAATGTCTGTTGATGTAGTGATCAATACATTAAGGTATGGTAGGTTTCTTTAAAGTCAAGGGGAAGAGTAGACCAGAGGTAGAAAGATAAAGAATAATGTTTCTAACAAACAATTCATTTTTAAGCAACATCTTTCTGTTCATGGTTTCATTTGTCCTTCTTAATTTTGACAGCAGAAATGTAACGCAAACTACATTCTCCTTCACTGTCGTGAGAGTTCTCGCTCCAACTGAGACTGAATTACGAGCGAAGAGCCATCAGCCACAGTCCAAAGCACTTTTTTGCTACTTTTCTTTAATCACCATAAATCACAGTTTCTCCACATTTGATACCTACACACTGTATAACTTCCAACTATTGTGGCAACAGTGTGGGAATAACCCTTTCCTCTTTCAACAACACAATACCTCGCACACAAAAACAAGGTCAATAAAGGAATGCTTTTTTCCCCTGTTTGGTTTGGAAGAACTTGACTGACCTGCACAGACCTCTGACTTCCTGCCACGTTCTAAAATCTTGTAGAAAAACAAGATCCCAGTAGAGTGCAGGCTGTTATAGCAGCATATTAATGTTCAACAATCACATATGGGTGTCATGTTCTGGTGTCCACATACTTAAGAGCATGTATTCTCATTTATCAGTTTAAAAAGGTAGAACTAGGGGTGCCCGGATAGCTCACTGGTGGAGCTGGCGCCCTATGTGCCAGGGCTGAGTCCTTGCTTGTCATCCACTCTCTCTTCAGCTGTCACCACCAAATAAGGGCAATAAAAGCCCCCCCAAAAATGTGTTAAAATTAAAGTTAAAAATAAATAAAGAAAAATAAAATTAAATAAAAGGTGGAACTACACAAGGCTCTAAATGGATCAAGTGAAAGCACAAGTTAGATCATCAGTGACGGTTGAAAGTTAACAGTAAGATTTTTTTTAGGTGTGTGATGAGTTATTCCTACTATCTTTACAGGGTTATATTAGGGAGAATATCCTACATGAAGTCTCCCAATAATTGGTTTTGATATTTCTTGGATTTACAGTAATGTAAATGTAGGTATATGTTAACAAAAACAACAATCATTTCAAAGCTGCAAACAAGTGTGCAATTATTTTGTAATGTAGTGGCCATTAGTGTCACTTGCTCCTGATTTTTTTTCATTATCCATAAAAAAGAATAAAGTCGCATCACATTATAAATGCATCGTTCATCCATCTCCTTCTTATCCTTAGATTCCCTGACTAACACAAACATCTGTCTGATCTGAAAGCTCTGTCTCTTGGTTTGACTGAACATCCTCCTGCTCTCCGGCAGAACTCGCAGTGGCAGCAGTGGATATATCAATACTGATGTTTTCCTCTGTTATAATACACTCCGTATCAACAGTTACCACCCCGTCAGTGCATTCATCTGACTCATCCTCTCCTGAGTTCCTCTCTAGAGTTTGCTGCAAGTGGCAGAGTTCAAGTGGCACATCTGGCACTGTGGGAGGGGAATCACTCAGACACTCCTCTTCTTCAGACTGGTGACTCGTTAAAGCAGTTAAATCGATTGTGATCTCCGATCGACCACCGTCATGACACTCTTCACTGTCTGGTGTCCCGAGCTCTTCCTCATCCGACTGGTATGAGGGGTTCTGCTGGCACGTCTCTTCATGAAGTTCCTCTCGACCACCTGACACAGCTGGTAGTCCACTCCCTTGGTTTGGGACATCTGTGGAGCTCTGCTGATCGACAGCTATCTTTTCTGACCCTTCATCACCTGTAAGGAAAGCAATAGAATCTCACAATTGCACAGAACGATAGATGGTGTACACCGAGAGAAGTATATAGTTATTTTAGCCAGGTTTATATCCAAATGTGGCTCAAGTTTGAACTAAATCTTCAGAAAATCAGCGAAGGAAAATGCTTTTTTCCTGAGCATTTCAATCCACTTCTCCTATGTGAATATTAGAAGTTGGGTTCATCCAGACAAGCAGTCAGTGATGTGCCATTATACCATTTATGTAATTAAAAGAGCACCAGTCAAACCTCAAATGCAGACATAATTTATCTGCTGAATCTGATTCCATTGCATTTTATTTGTACTGATACACCAAATACCTACCCCCAAATGTAAAAACATTTTTTCCACTTCCATAAAAACAACTAGATCCCAGCTAAACTAAAACCAGCTGTTGAATATTCACCTTTGTGTCCAGGAGACTGTGTTGACTCATCCTGATGAGTGTGCAGGGTGATGGTGTCTTTTCCTCCTGGTATGATGAAACATTATCCAAAATAAGCTTTTATAAAAGCAGTATAAACTATCTGCATGTCATTACAGAAAACTGTTAAATTGTTTGGAAATGAGTCACTATAACTTTGCCAGATATGAAAAGTGGTGAAAGAAGATGAAGTTCAAAGGTTAAAAAGTAGATGACAAAGTTATGAGAAGAACATACTTCCATATATTCCCAGAGACACATTATAAGTCAGGCCTCCAGGTAGCAAAAAGCAAAAGGACAGAAGAAGAAAGGATAAGGAATGTAAATTATTGTAAACAGTAGGTAGAAGGTAGGCTTCATTGAAACACAGTATTACAGTGCTTATGTTCACCTGGCAGGCTCCATAATCCAGATATTTCTAATGTTTTTAGTTTCTTCTCCAGCTCTGCTACTCGATTTCCAAGAATCCTAAAAAGACATAAAAACAATTAAAATTCACACATTCTGTCCAGTATCTAAATCACTGATGCAATTAGAACCTAGAGTGTAAAGAGAGAGTGGGAAGTATGAGATAGGAGTACTTGTTGATTTGCCGTTGGTGCTGAATCACCATGTTCTTCTCGTGGATAGTTTCCAGAAGAGCTGTGGCGAGAGACTTGAGGTCTGAGATGGACTGAGGAGTCACCGGCAAACTGCAGCCGTTCTCTTCAGACAGTAACAATTCCTTCACTGCACACACATCATTAGTCACAAACATATGCTGTCCTCAGATTAAGGGTTTCATAAAAAATTTAAAAAAAAACATTTGAGACATTGTACATACTGAAAGATTTTTAAAATATGATCCGTCTGACCTTGTTTAGCAGAGAGCACCCCAGTCAGTGCACTACTGTTTGTTTGTTTCCCAGAGATTTTAGAGTTTTTCCTACACTCCAGGGCACTCTGAAATCAGCAAAAAACATTATTGAGAAAGAGCGGTTTCTGTTTCAGAAGGAAAAAAAACTTTTAAGGTTAAATGGCTCCGCTTTCATAGAACTAAGATACTATCAAACATATATAAAATATAACTGTAGGAGTAAAATATTGAAGAAATAAAAATGTAGCTACCTTATACTTCACCAGGTTTGTTTTGAGTGAGTTGATTTCCTCTTGAAGTTGACCGAACCGCTGATGCAAATACCTGAAAGATCATTAAACCTCATCAGTTCTATCATCCATCTGTTTACACGGGAGCATTCACAGATATGACCCTGAAAAATCTAAATATAATCATGTTATAATCGCTTTTATTTTAAAGCTAAATATGCATAAACATATCATGTGATGTAAATATATGCATTACTTCATTGGATAAAGGGGGACAACAGTGTTTGAACAGCTGTTAACTGTGGACACTGTGGCAGATATTCTGATATTTCAGAGCAGAGTAACAAACCTGTTCTCCATGCAGAGTGCATCTATGTCTAAAATCCGTGTCTCATCATTGCCCACGATGTGGTTCATTTCCACATTGAGACGATGAGCCTTCTGCTGAAAAACGTCACGCTCTGCTCGCACGTCCTGAAGCTCGTCTGTGAGCGACTTCACGCTGTGCTCCAGAACCTCGTTCTACAGCAACACAAAAACACACCGAGTAACGACATAAACTGATGATTAGCCAGCATTTCCTCACTTCATCTACTAATACGACTCGGCTTGCTTATATGTATACAGTTTAATTCTCATATTGTTGAATAATTGTTTGAAGAAAACTATCACACTAATCGCATCCTGTTTCAATTTTATCTCCAGAAAATTAACTCTTATGCAATATCTGGCATACATTAACATTATTATTATTATATCTTGTTGTGATTTATCATTACCATTTGGATGTTGGCGGAGTAGCTTTTCGACTTTTGTGCACTGAGTACTTTTAATACTATAAGGACATTTTCCTCATTATACTTACATACTTTTATTAGCATTTTTCAATGTATTTTTACAGTGTGGGATTAGTACCTACTTTTCCTTAAATAAAAGATCTGAATACTTCCTCCACCACTGACTGTGTGTGTATATGTAGTCACAAGCACGGCTGAAGTACTTCCAAGTCTTCTTAGTTTGACATTTAGTTCACAGGATGTTGTTAAATGTCACAATGCTGTCAACTACAAGCCATTAACTGAAAATCACCTGAATAACCTGAATTATTGCCTTTTAAAACAAAAGGCCGAGATCAGCAGGCAGTAGGCATTGCGCCCCTGTTCTCACCTGTTCCCGGGCTCTTTCTAACTGTTTGACCAAATCCTCCCGTTCATGTGCAGGAAAGTGTCGAGCGCCAACCTCCTCGTCTCCCAGCCTCTGTTTGGTGATGGTCATTCGTAGGAGCTGTTGGGACAGAGAGGACCAGTTAAGATGTCCATTATTTTCAGCACAACCTGAACGCTACTCACTTAATTCAGATACATTGATTCATACTGGATATGTGGAGGTATAATCATGAATAAAAAGAGACATTATAATCTAATTTGTTTTTATTGCAGCTTTCAGTATAGTGCACAGTATGACATGGTACCTTGTTATCGCCTTGAGCTTCCACCAGTCGTTGTTTCAGTTCTTTCACTTCCTCAGAAAGTTGACTGCTTTTTTCTCTGGAGTCTCTCAGCAGCTGGGCTAAATTCACCTGAATAAGACATGAGCGTCATGTGGGCAACATCACACAGACTTACTCAGCTGTTACATTAATATATCCAGGATTGACATTGACGGTTTTACGTAAAGATTCCCCCATCTTTTAACCTAAAATAATGAAGAGCATCCAATTAGCTCTGATAAATGTGCCCTTTTTTGCTCCATAACACCACTGGAGTTGTTATCAACACCACAGGCTGTGATCAGTAAAAAGTGTTGGTTACTAAACTGTGTACAAAGCATAACTGCGCCACCCAGAGACTCACCTGGCCTGAATGCTGTGATTCTTATACCCTCAGAATATTAAATATTAACATAAAACTTGTCCATAAACACAATTTACCCCCAGGGATCAGTAAAGTATGTGTGTGCACATAACTGCATTCTGGGTATTGAAGTCCACTTATTCTAGCCTTTTGGAGCATGTGTGTAAACTGCCAAATGCATTTTTAAGGAGCCTTTTCTATGGTTTCTTTAGAGTAGTATTTTACAACCATATACACTTCTGTAAGAAAAACACCTGCAGGTCAAAATCACTTACTTGATTCCTTTTCTCAGGAGGCAGAGAGGGATCTCCATCCTATTAGTTATAAAAACAAAGTATACTCATTAAAAGTAACATCTCCAAAATGTAATTTAATTTTGATTCCTATTATAACATGATGCACCTTTAGGACACACAGAGATGGCTTACAATGAGCTCTCTGTACTTCTTCTTGAGTCCTTGGTGCCGCTCTCGGAGCTGGTTGGCCATCAGCTTGTACTGATCCCGCTCCTGCTGGCAGGTGTCCAGCTCTTTAGACAGAATCAGAAGAGCTTCTTTCTTACTCTCCAGCTTCCGCTTACAAATTAGGAACTGCAAGTAAGAACAAATGTTTCTGAAGGAAAAAGTTAAAAGGCATCGTTGCATGGATATTGAATGATACTGGAAAGGTAGGCAGTGTCATCTCCTAAAGCCAAAAACTTTATATTAATTTAATGTTTACTAAAGAAGATAATGAAGCAGTGCAGCCAACATGGAGAATCATCTATGTCACAATAAGCACATTAGACCCTCTGATGTTGATTATTATCATGATCCTGTTTAGGGCTGCAACTAATGACTGTTTTCATTCTTGATTAACCTGTTAAATGTTGGAAAAACAGTGAAAAATGCCACCATTTCCCAGAGCGAATAAATCAGAGAAAAACAACAGATCCTGACATTTGAGAAGCTGAAAGGAGTGAGAGGTTGGCCTTTTCGGTGGATAAATTAATTAAAGGATTAATCAATTATCAGGGCTCCTGTCAATAGATTTTCTGCTGATCCACTAATTGATTAACCATTTAATTACCTGCTAGAGCGGTAGGAAACTTGTATCATGCTTCAAACAGCAATATTAGTCACAAATAAACAAATATTACTGATATAATAATATTCACTTTTACTACTGAATCTGTGTAAAACATGGACATGAGTGGTCATCATAAACTCCTCATGAGCTGCCATCAAATGTATTGATTGCGACAGATTATCAGCAATAACCACTGACAGTATATCAACCGGTGAAAAGTCAATACACCTGCAGCGTCGGGCATATTGTTTGACACTCTGCAGACACAAGGAAAAAAAAAAAAGAGAGAGAAAAACCTACTTCCTTATCTGCATTCCCTAAATGCTGAGGAAACCATGAAAGCAGCTTCCAGGTTTATTCCTACAAGCTCCAAACAGGGTCGGTAACGCACAGAAGGACACCGCTAATGTAATAGTTTGATGCACAACCTCAGTGGAGGTTAGAGACTTTACACTGTATCCTCTCTCAGGTTCTTTCCAGTCTCACCTCGTTGACCAGCCCCTGCCAGTCGCTCTCGCTCCTCCTGGACGGATCCATGTCGGCCCGCGCGAAACAGGGGGGGGAAAAAAACTAAAGGTTAATAAAAAGGTGAGTTTTAAATAAGCATCACCATGTTTGTCCCGGTGATCAGATTTACAGACATTTTGCATCATCAAGACGGATTAGCTGCTCGAGGAACACGATCTGCATCACTTCCGTCGGTCCCCGACGTCAGAGGAGCGTCACGACGCATTTGGAAACCCTCGTTAAACTGGGGACTCTGTATGGAGGCCTAAATTCTTCAAAATTATATAGGAAATCACAAAGTTTAATATCAAGTTATTAATTATGTGAATAAATATAGAAAAAATATACAATTTTACCTACTTACCGGCTGTTTCCAAGGTCAATAAATAATATTTTAGGCTTATTTTATTATTAAAAAAAAGACCAGAATAAAACAATATTTGATCAGTGGTGAATTAAATATTCAGATCCTTTAGTAAAAGTAGCAATACCACACTGTGAAAATACCACACTACAAGAACACTAAAAGCCCTCCATTAAAAACCTCACTAAAATGTAATCAAAAGTAAAGGTACATGCATTAATATCCCTGGTGCACTGTTGCATTTTACTGCTGTAGTTGACTGAAGTTTAATCAACAGACTGGACAGAAAATACATGTCGGGTTCTTGGCAGCAGTGCTTTGCACAGATTTGAAGAAGAGTTTATCTCAAGAGGCTTTCATGGTCGTCAGTCATATCATACCTCTACGCTGAATGACAATAATAACAGATGAGGATGACGCTCACAGTGTCATCATCATCTGTTATTATCATCTGGTGGTTGAGTGTGTCTTAAAAGTGCCAACATCTTCTCTGACTAAATAACAAATACATGGGAAAACTGCAACAGACCATTAAAACACACACATTTCTCTATTTTTGTTCTCTTAAAATGAACCATATAATTACGTCTGCAGTTGCAGCTGAAAGAAAATGCTGTCTCAGACGCCGGTTGCTGACAGCACTATCAATTTTAAACATGCTGTCTGAGGCACTTTGTCTTTGCTCTATGGACACATTTCACCATCTGTGCATGTGCCAAGAACGGAGGACAGAGCAAGTAAAACACACAGAGACAGTACATGTGATTAAATGTTCTTTAATGCATTTACACAAACTCATTCTTACATAAGACTGAAGGTTGTCGATGTAGCGTTGTGTAAAAGATCTGTTTTTATTAATTAGTTGAGGGTACTAGAGTGGAAAAGATATAAGTGCTAGGTAGAACATGAGGATAGATTGAAGGGCAATAATGTATTTAATTTTCAAGAAATGCTCACAAAAACATACTGCTTTTGCTTGATTTTGTTAGCATTTTGTGACTTTCAGCTGTTTAACAGTAGGCCTAGTTTGCACATCATGCCATTGTTATGTATTTGAAAAAGATTTATATTCCAAACCAAACGGACTGTAATTAAATCTGTACAATACATGAAACATATCAAAAGATCAGTAAATAAATGAGCACACATTTGTGTCTTAAGACCATGTAAATGTCGTTTCAAGTCATATAGCAACAGCACACAATTAACCTTGTGATTGTAATTCAGAAAAACATTCAGTATTTTACATTTTGCATAGGAATCAGGACTAAATTATATGTTGTTTTGACACTAATCAGGCACTCTGTTCATACAGTTGTTAGTTATAAATGTTGTGCAGTTAGGCTTAAGCTTTTGTTAATACATTCTGCTGTATTATTTGGGTGAAAAGAAGAAACCCCTTTGTTTCATGCACATTTAAATGTTTAGTCATGACAGTTACTGGATGAGATGGCTTTAAAATGTCTACTGGCTGCTCAGAAATACAAAGTTCCAGAGTTTAGAGCATTTTATGGTAACTTTTGACATTTAGCTTGGAGCTTGGAGTGGTGGAGCCAAACAGTTTTCACACAGATAGCCAGGCTGATTATCTAAAACCCACTCCCACAACACCACACACCTTTCTAACAGCTAACAGCAACTTTCCAAAACCCACAATCCAACTAGCACACCCACTCCACAAGCAATTTGGCCAAGTGTGAGTGTGAGGAAGTAAGAAGGGTTTGAGCTCTCTTTTTAAATTTTCACACAACTGCTTTTGTCACATGTACAACTAAGCGCCATGAATGTGAACACCATGAATACCTTCCTGGAGAGACGTCTGAAAGTTTGCACAAGCGTCCCTATATTTAAACAATTATCGCATCTCGCCCCTCTCTATGACAGCAACCCTGCATTTAAGAGCTATAATTTGCCTTCAGACTAAGACAACACGTAGTAAAAAGTAATTCGTGTTCGAGCATACTGACACCTCGTGTGTTCACTTCGAGGTGGCATAGAAATGGTAGTTCTATTCAGTTTTGTTCATTGTTTATTAGAATATCTACCTTTTTCTTTCACTCATTGAGGCAACAGTGACAGCAACTTTATAGGTGCATCATTAGGAATCACATATAATGGTATTTACATTTTATATAACTCTTAACGGATACATTTATTACTGCCTGTGTGGGGTGGCCAGGCTATAGTCTATGGCACGGCCAGAATAGACACCCCTTGGTTTGGCTATTCCTTGTTTGACAGAATTATATTTATCTAATATGCGATACAATTATATTCATGCTGTTTAAATTTTAAAGGTTGCCTTCAGTTTTTTAAGTTAACTACTTGGGACCTATCATTAATCGTACCTCCATAACTACTTGAAATGCATATGAACTGCAGAAACTTGTCAAAGATGTTTGTGTCAGACCAAGAAAGATATATCTAGTTTTATAAGGAAGATATACAGCAATTGAGACTTTGTAGCATACACGCAATATTGATCTGAGTGACCAACTCATACTGTCGTTAGTCATTATTTTGCGAGGCATTATAAGCTTAAATCTACAATAATATGCTCAAAAACCATCGATTTGCCCTTAAAGCTGGAGGAGAAGATGAAATTCCTGCGGTCAGTGGTCACTGCTGTAATTGACCGGGGGGACTGCACATAAATATCCTTAAACTTGTGAAATGTTTTGGTCTCCACATCCCAGAGGTAGATTTGTGTGAAAGAATAATCGCTGCCAAGAGCAAGATAGTGCCTGTCTGTGAAGGTGAAAGGTTGGAGGATCATTGCTCCTCGAGAAGGCAGAGCCTGCACTTCAGTGAACTGCTTATTGGCCCACTTGAGGAGTTTGGAGTCACCAATGTAACAAGTCATGGCCAGATACAACTCATTCTCCAGCCGGAAAGCTTTGACTGCCACCACGTCATCGACATGTGGGACTTCACCGTGAAGTATGAACTTCAGGGTGCTCTTGTTCCACAGGTAGATGACAGGTGACTGAGAGCGACTGGCCAAGATGAGGAAGGACTTCCCGTCCACCTCAACAAACTCAGCATCTGTATCACGAAACCACTCGTGGAGGAACTGGTAGGAGTAGAAACCAGTTTCATTGCGGTCTGGTTGGTCGGTCCACTTGTACAGAGTAGACAAACCTGCCTTGGAGCTGTCCACAATCACAAAATACCAATCACCATCCATTTGGAAGACCTCAATGTCATTTGGCTTCGAGATGTTGAAGACCTCAATAGTTTGAAACTTTGTGAACTTGTTTTGCTGATCGTCAAACTTGTAAATATGGGAGCCACCAAAGAGCTGGGTAACAATTATCAAGACATGGTTGTCAATCAGAACTGACTTGCATCCAACAACAGACTTCCCTGTGAGGATACAAAAGTTGTTAGTGGTAATGCAACACAGAAAATGAGTATAAAACAAAGAGTCCTCTTAAATTAACCTAAAAAGATAAACATGAGATTCTTATATTTTTCTATTGTGAAAAGAACAAAACCAACAGACCATTAAGGTCTTGAAAATATATATTAACTTATCAAAAAGGTAAATATAACAGCTGGGAACTGTAGTTTTTAGTAAATGTTTCTCAAACAAGGGGTAAATCGCAAATGTGTTGGGGACTATTTTCAGCGGCAGATTAATACACATTTGGTGCTCTCTATGGTATTTACAGCACAAATAAACTACAGTGCCCATGTTCAATGTAATGAAGCAACATGTGTTTTTTCTGTGTCTAGAATGAAGGGGAACAAGTTCTGTAAGGCTTTGGCTATGCATACAAAACTTCTTTGTAGGATCAATTCATTGTTAGTTTTGATCTTTTCATATAAAAAAAAATACAGACTATCACCAGGCTTATCTGGTTAAAAAAAGTCTTTGGGTGTTGTGTTTGTGTTGTCAAACCTGTTATATTGTCAAATTTCCTGAAATTCATCTCAATGTGGTCCCACTCCATGACCACACAGCTGTTGGAGTTGGGGGCAGACATAGCCACGTAGATGTCCTCTTTAAAGGAGAAGATGTCCGCTGACATTGACTGAATGGGAATGGACTGATGACGCACAAAGTCTGTGAGATGCAGACAAAAACAGAAACTGCTAGACCTGCTGACAAAGTGAAAGAGTTGACATTTAGAACCCCACTGCTTAAATGACTTTTATTATGCTGTGAAAAGCTTCTGGGTGACACTGTAGAGTGATATCATATTTTGGGTGTAATATTGTTTAATATTTTTACTTGAATATAATAATATAATATTATTCTTATAGTTTTACAGTATGTTTGCTTATAGTTTGTAAAGTCATTGTTATGCAATGATATGAGGTGTATTTATGTCAGTTTACAGTTGCCTTGTCTGTCCACATTTGTGTGGATAGTAGTTCTGCCCATTATTATTAAACAAGCACAGAAATTAATCTAATGTGATGATTGTGAAAATAACGCTTGAATTAAAAAAACATGCAATATAATATAATATAATATTCCCCTTTTTTATAATTTTCCAATAATATCTTTACAACTATTAAGGGGATTGTTGTGATATTTGGTACATATATGTCTGGTGCCCAGAGGATGAATCTGATATATGTCTGATATGAATTTGTCCAATACTTTATTGGATAGACATTCTCATCAGCCTCACTTGTACTTTCTGTTTAGTGCTAATGAGCAAATGTTAGCTTGCCACCATGCTAAACTAAGATGGTGAACATGGTTAACATTATATCTTCTGAATATCAACATGTTAGCATTGTCATTGTGAGCATGTTAGCATGTTGACGTTAGAATTTAGCTCAAAGTATATATATTTATATATATTCTTAATATATCATATGTCTATATGTCTATTACATCTGGAGTTTGTAACAAAAGTAATTTCCCCCTGGGATTATTAAAGTATTTCTGATTCTGATTCTGATTCTGAAAGGACTGGTGTGCCTAAGCACAGCCTCACAGCGGAACTGTAGACTCTCACTGTTTCATAGTCTTGTTGTTTGCGGATGTGTGCGCTTGTGTGTAAATATGTGAGTATGTTTTCAGTGACACACGTTAGCACGCCTGAAGTCTGTTTGTTTTTGAGTGCAGAATAGTGCATGCAGTGTCCTTTTGAATTATTAAACTGATTGATTTCTTCCTTTCCTTTCTGTCCTTTTAATGTGACATTTTTAGCTGTGCCTTAGACTATTCATAATAGCCCTTGAATGTGTACTCGTCATTTTACCTGTGGAAATACACTCGCCCGGTGGAATAGGAAGGTCATTGAGCCGCTTGCCCTTCATGTCACTGGGGCCTGCACAGAAGACATCTGATACAGTGGCATTTGTGTTTTTCAGCCACGTCATCAGCCATTTGTTCTCACAATTGCACTGGAAAGAGTTGCCTCGCAGATCCCTAATGTACAACAGAGGGATATGAGGCAATGTGTTTATATTAATAAGATTGAGAAGGTTGAGATGGCAAAAAAAAAAAACTTGGGACAGTGTAGTGAAGTCATTAAAGGTGTTCCTGTATGTGATACACCAAAGTAAAATTCAAACGTATATCTACTCCATGATAGTCAAAATACATTATGATGATTCCAATAATAATGTTATACAAGATCTAATCTGCTACAAGATAAAAAAAAAACTCAAAATGTTAACTTTGCAGGAATAAGAAAAAACAGCAATTGGGTTAGTTTGATTAAATAATACAGAATTTCTTAGCCAACACTTGTTTGCTGTTTGATAAATACCTGAATGATTTGAGCTGGAAATATTTTTCTTATGATGGTTCTTGAATCTCTCTGTGCTTTTGCATTGTTATAAGAACAATTTGTTAATAAAATGAATTTAAAATGTTAAGACAAACAACTTTAGCTACACATGAAAGTCACTCTAAACCTGTGATTACACTACAGGGAAGGACAGAGACAAAAACTTAATATCTGTGATATCCATATCACACATAGGGGGTTTAATGCTGCCAAACACAAAACACTGCCTGAGTCAGCTTCACTTAGGAACACAGTGTGGAAAAAGACAACACACACACACACACACACACACACACACACACACACACACACACACACACACACACAAACACACACTGCTGACACCACATCTGCTTACTCACAGTTCCAGTAACGAATCCAAGTCATAAAAGAGATCTCTGGGCAGAAACCTCATCTTGTTATTGGCAAGTGATCTAAACCAGAGACACAGACAGACCAAATAAATGCACATTTATTGTCTTTTGTTTAGTTATAACATCAGTCTTTCTCTGTAATAATAAGGTTTTGGTGCTGCAGATGGTGTATGGATGGTAAAAAGAATCATAGCAGACTCACAGATGAGTCAAATCTCGCAGGCCACGAAAGGCATTTTTGGTGATCGTTTCAATCTTGTTCCCTTCAATGAATCTGTTCAGTGAGTAATAAAAAAGTAGACAAATACAAGTAAATTAAATAATGTAATACATAAGGTCATATAATATATCATGTAAAATAGGTTTTTGTGTGTGTAAATCTGTAGATGTTGTTTCTTGCCCATCGATGGGGCTGAGGGGGGTAAGTTATAGGGTTTTAGACGATGGGGATGAAGCAGGAGAAATGATCAGCAGTTGCATTTACAGCATTATATAATACAGTCATTTAACATAATTATTAACAATTAGGTTAAAAACTGTTATCTTGAATATGTGACATGATATTGTGTGGTATATTCAACTTGTTCAACATTCAACTTGATCTAATTGTGAATATACTTATGCAAAAAAATATAAAGAAAATCACAAAAAATAATACTCACAAATATTCTAGATGTGGAAGGCCAGAGAAAGCATCATCTTTGATTGTGTTCAAAGAATTTGAATTTAGAAGTCTGTGAAGGAAAAACAAACCCTGACAACTGAGTAAACTGGAAATTAAGTCTCCCATTACATTGGTAGACAGAAAAAAGCCTGCATTCTACTTTTCTGTTTGAGTGTAAACTAAGCCCTGAAATTTCAATTACTTATCACAAATCAATGACAGTCTCCCTTGACAAAATTGCACTTACAACAGCTGAAGAGAAGGCATGAGTGCAAACATCCCTTCTGTAATTTCAGAAATAGATCCATTTACCATGCTCCTGTTGGAAGAAACACACATAAATCAAAGTGCAACTCGGATGATAACACTCTGTACCAGACACATCAAGTGCCAACTCTGCAGGGGGGCACAGGGCAGCAAGTAAAATGGCTCCTTGAACGCAACATTGATTGCCTTGTTCTTTACTGAAGAAATAAATAATCCACTTTATCTAAAGAAATACAATCAGTTACTCACAGTGAGTTGATCTCATTCGGTATAGTCCGTGGGATCTGTGAGGGACCGACGCAGATGATCGTCTCCTTGGAGCAGGAACATCCTGAAGGACATTTGAAAATCCTTTTAGATTCAACTGCTCCATAAATATACAGAAGCGCAAAACCGGCCAGTAGCCACTGCTTAGTGGATGTCATGTTGCCTCTTGAGCATCAATAATAGTAAATGAGCCCGTGGTCGGTGCTGGCAGCAGCTTTTACCCGCCTGGGCGACATCAAAATGCAGCACTATAGTGGAAAGCCCTGACACAGGCTGATACGGCTGCAGCTGCGTCCCGGAAGGCTGCTTCAGTTTCGGACGGTGGGGAAAAACAACGAAAACAATCGATTCGTCAGTAATTACAATGGCAATTTGTTTGGAACAAAAACTCAAAAAAATAATAAATATGTGCATTTAATAATTATTTGAATTAATGCCACAAAACGTATTTTTTTAAGTGACATTAGAGGTGGGGAAATCAATACAACACCAAAATTGATTCTTAAAAACAGAATTTCAGCACCATGGAGAGCGTCGACAATTAAGTACACGTGCAGACTTGATCACGTGACACGTTCTGCATGCCAGAGCACTTAACTTGTCCCATAAAGAAGAAAATGCATTATAAATGCACGGTAACCCCATAGTTAGTCAGACTGTAGGCCATAGAGCATATCACCAGTGTTCTTTCTAATGCACTCACTAAAAACATCAGATATTTGCCTTTAGGTTTCAATTACCAGCTTAGTTTAAATGGGGTAGGTGATGCATTCATCTCCGAGAAAACAACAGAGAGGTCATCTGTCTGTTTTAAGAGCTCTACAGTGGACAGACTGCAGCCCTGCGCACACAGTGAGTCTATGTGTGCTCTTACGTGAGTATACCATTAGAGGGCAGCTACTGATAAGCAAACAAATAATCTGTTGTCTTTTGTGGTTTTCAAGTTTATTTCTGATCACATTTTTGACAGCTAGAAGATGTTATGTGTCGGGTTTTTGTGTGGTTATCGCATCAGTTTATTCAGATGGTATAAAGTTTGCAGAAAAAGGCAATCTCATGCATTGATCTTCAGTCTTGTATATGCCTCAGGTTGGAAGTTGTAGATGTTCAAATCCTACACTTTAAAATACAGGATTTGAGAGAAATAGACCATCCTAAAAAAGGCCTGATAATGCTCCTTTTATTACTTTCTGTATGGTAGAGACATCACTGTCTGTCTCTTTCTCTTTTATACACACATATACTCTCTCTTCTCTAATTAAACAGAATTTATGTGCTATAATGTGTAATAAAATCAGAATATAACTGAGGACTATAAGTAAACACATTTATTCAGAAGTGTAACTGAAGTAAAAATGGCTAAAAACATACAAGAATAACATGTTTTTCTTTCTCAGTTCATTTTCTTAATTGTTTTCATTTTTAGTAGTGGCACTATTACAACTAAATTCATAATAAACTGGGGATTAAAACCAAGCAGTTACTTTCTTAATGTAGTAAACTGATGTCAATAGTGTAGAAATGATAAAACTATAAATAATTTTATTTTTTATTTGTTTTACATAATAATATTTTAAATAACAGATATTATTTAAATTTGGCTTTTATATTGTTTTCCACATATACACATGAGCAACTTGGGTTTTAGTATCTAACCTAAAATTATCACTAAGTTAACCTTTGCCTGTTAAGTAATGTAATGACCCTAATGCTGTAATATAAATATTTCCTGCCATTGCTTTATATGCCACATGGTACCATTATTCATAGAAAGAAGTATTTACCAAACAATAGGGTTGTTAGTTGTCGCAGCAGGTCCTAACAAGGTGCTGACCTTTGCTGGAGGACCAGTAGTTTATGAGCACCAGTGAAACCAAATACCCATTGCCAGAAGGGAGCAACCGTACATGTCTGCCATTGCGGGCATATTTTATGACAGCTCTGCATCTAGCATTGCTGTTTTTAGGCTAGAGTATCCCTGAAACACTTGGGACACGTGCAAGCTGAAACCAGATGACGCCAGAGCAAACATGTCTTTGCTATTTCTTTCTAAACAAACATCAAGACGTTATTAAGGAACTGGAAACACCCACGTAGAAAAGTGTTTTTTTTAACATTAAGTCCCTGTAAAATAAACAACTTAGGCCCAGTCATTTGTCTTTCATGAACATCATGATGTTACTCATGACTAATGATTACATTTTGCTCATGTTTTAGATGTTTTTACAACTTCATAGTCACAATACAATTAACTTATTTCCCTTTGGTTACTTACAAATTAAACGGCGACATCTAACAATGGTGGACTGCTACTTTAAAACTACTGATCCGAAATAATCACAGTTAAAAGTTGTAAAACAAACTACACTGATCCTGAAGAGTATATTTTCTGAACACAAACACAAACAGTCTATAAAATAAGCTGATTCTGCTATCCAATACTTATTTTTACTGTTCTTTTACCATTAAGTCTTTGAGTACAACAGTAATAATCAGACTTAATTGTAATGACAGTAATATAGACCTAATGGTATTATTACAGTACACAGCTTGGTAATATTTATATATATTTAATATTCAGCGGTACAACACAGATATTCTCTTAAAGCTCCAGTGTGTAGGATATTTGTACTTTGGTGCCATCTGATGGTTTTATCAAGAATGATCGAATGATAAAGTAATTTTGTGCACTAATAAGGCACCAATAAGGTTGTAACAATGACTTAACTAATAGTTCATGTTTAATTGACTAATTTTTGACTTCTAAGCTATTAATTAGAACAAAATAGTAAAATTAATTTGGTAATTATGTAATATAAATGTTAGTAATTATAATATTAACATATTTTGTATTTTCCAATAATAACTGTTAATACATTTAAGCTAATTTTAGGACTTTAATTTTAAGCACACAGCAGATCTTTTTTCCCTTCTGATTAACTATAACCAAGAACATATTAAGTGTTATGCTGGAGGAGGTTAAACACTATTTTTCACAACCTGGCAATCCCAAAGTTGTCGATAATAGTTTATTAATGATCTATAAATAATTTGTAAATTATTGATTATATTAATAACCCACCTGTTACATCTGATAAACCCTTTATAAAGGGCATCTGGTTAAAATGAATTGAATTATGTGATCTGTACTAATTCAAAGACAGCCATTTGCACGTTTGAAAGCTGGAATAAACAAATTGAGGGTGTAAAGATAGAAGTTGGTGATTATTATAAAACCCTTTGAGGCAAATGTATTATTCATTTTAGGCTATTTAAATAAACTGAATCATAAACTTCAAAAATCATAAATAAACTTCCCTTAACATGACAACATGGCAAATTGTCCTAACAAAATACTCTTTAGGCTACATTTGGATATGAATGTATTGCTTCTTTAATTGTGTGATATTAATAAATGGGTGAATCTAAGGTACTGAACCCTTCAGCACCAGCAGCTTAGTTAAAAGTGACCTAAATACTCACAGTGATCATTTATCCGCCTTAAGTGAATTGTCATTATCGGTGGTTTAGGGTAACGCTCTAATCCCTTACATCCCCTAAACTACCTCACATATGACATGTTCAAATCAGAAGATGAACTTTTACCCTTTGAACTATGAAACCCTTGAGGTTTAGGAGGGGGGTAACCTGGAGAAGTGCGGTGTCTGCTTCACAGCAGGTGTTCAAGCTCTCAAACTTCTCCAGTTCCCACACAGGATCAGCAGAAGGCTCAGTAGTTGGTATCAGACTACTGGGTCTGATGCTACAGGAAACGCAAACATAGCATACTGAAAATATGCATATATTTAACAAGTGTTTGCAGTATATCACAAAGAACAATACAAATTTAGTTATTTCTCATCATTTTACTTTATTAAAATTATGACTTATTAACCTCTTGACATACCGTTGACCCCCTTCTCCCCATAAATCCAAGAAGTCTGGAAGTATTGACTATATATTCAGATATATTTTAGCCTTTTCCAACTCTTGTTTACTCAGTGAAGTGATCCATGTTTCATCATTTGATACACATTTCTCCAAAATTCTGCTTTATATTCTTGATATCTTTGCAAACTTTGGGATCTTTATTATTTAAGAATTATTCTATTAGAATTTAAAATAAATAAGTAGTAAGTATTTGGCTGCACAGCATGAGTTTTTAAAGTACTCTATGTTTAATATTTTAAAGTACATTTACTTTTCTTAAGTACATCCATTTCATGCCACTTATACTTCTACTCCACTACATGTCAGAAGCAAATAGTATTCTTTATATTCCACTTTATTAGAGAGCTATACTGACTAGTTAACTTATGAATTTATATTTTACATTAAAACAATACTATCATATTGGAAAATAGGATACACTGTTATAGATTAAACAATCTGTAAGATTAGTTCCAATATGTTACAAATTAGCTCAACTTCAACCAACTACAACAGTAAAACCATGCAGTCAATGCATCATAACTTTATTACAATTACTTTATTATAATATATAACAGCAGAATAAGTACACTTATACTATCAGTACATGTTGCTGAAAATAAATAATATTCTGATTTCAGGGCTTTTACTTGTAATGGACAATTGAATATGTGCTATGACTAATTTTACTTCAATTAAAAAAATACTTACAAGTAATTAAATACAAAAGAATTATGCTTCTGCTGCTACCACTTAACATTATCTTAATTACAACTGTAATTATACAAAATAAAAAAAGAATTGCTTTGTTAGAATGATGTTATTTAATGGTAGAGATCCTAGCCCAATACAGACTGGCATTAACTCCTAATGGACTTTAAATATTTTATTAATAAATAATGATGTAATAGAAATGTTATATTTACTGGATAATGTATTCTTTATGGATATCACATTTATTGGTACAAATGTGCATATGCCTGTTAAAGTGTAAACATGGAGTCTGGAGTGTGGATTTGCACTTAAAAAATAAAAAAAAATAAAAAAGACCATTGACTTTTAAAGATAGAAATAGAAAATACATTTTTAAAAGGTTTTTAATTTAGAATTTTTCGTTTGCACCTGCCTACACTCGTATATAAATATATTTTTATGGAGACAGAGTTGTAAATATCATCTCACAACTCGTTTATTTCCAACTTTAACATTTACAGTTTCCATCTCGTGACCACTTTAATTTAAAGACATGTGTCATCTGGTCAGCTGTTCTTTGTTGTTAGGAGTCTGACTAATCAGAGCTCCTGCTACAGCTCTGTGGACTGAACTAACTCATTTTTTTATATAATTAAATAAAGTAGCAATCTACAACTATTCCAGTGGAA